AAATGCTGTCTATAGATACGAGATTAATTAATATTTTAGTGCCCACTAATCACGAGATTTTCTTAAACCATGTCTACGATAATTGTCCTAATGACCCATAAAATTAGTCTCCCGTGTCTTACGTTGCAATAAAAGTCAAATTTGTCAACTTCTGTACAGAAAAATTACCACAGAAGTTCAACAGAAAACTCACATGGAGGTGGGCCCCCATGTGAAATTAAATATTGCAAAAAATGTAGGCCCCTGTTGTGTGTGTGCTGGCAGTTTTCTGTACACACAGCAAAATTGAAATTCAAAATATATGTTGGTTTTTTCTACATGAAATGCTCCATACGAAAATAATTTTTGACTTTTTCCGTCTATCTTTGACTTCTAATTTGAAATTATCTTCAAGCAAGGAATGAGTTGTCTAGTCGATTTTGCCAATTGCTATTTGGACTAGAAAATGAGATGCTACCAAATCTTGATTTGAAACATTCTCTAGAGAATATTAGTAATTAATTAACCAATTTAATTATAAGAAACAAGGCCAAACAATTATTTCAGAATTAATTATGTGGGGGTGGGGTGGGGTGGGGTGGGGTGGGTTTCACTTATTTTTTAGTTGCATGAATGTTCACACCCATATGTCACTTCTCTTCGTCCTTTCGATTATTGACAGATTAGCAAATCATTAATTACACTGTTTAGAATAATCTCGTGCGGCTAACAACTGCACACGTCAACAATCAACATCTCTTAACTACTCTTAATATGTCCTTAACGAGTGGCGTTTTGTTATTTAAAATTTAAAAAAATGTAACGTCCAATAATTTTAAGTGAGGTGTCCCCAATCACTCTTTATCAAACTTGTTATTTAGGTTTTAAAGAAAGATTATGCCACTTTGTCATAAGGATTTTGATAGATGCAATGATCGAAATAAAGGTGACATCAGATGATTGAATGAAAAATCTGATTGTGCTTTTAACAATACAATGATAAAAGGTTAACATTTCCGTCAACTTATCTTGCACTGTAGCATAGTTCTTTAAAGAACGATGTTGTTCATATAGATTGAGTTTATGTGGTAATTAAGTGGCTTTAATTGATTTATAGTTTGGATGATCACTGATCTACGTGACAATATGGTTTCTGTTATATTATTTAATGAATGAAAATATATTTTAATTTAACTGATTAATATAAAGGAACAATATATAAATAAGGTATTTAAGTATCACTATTCCAAAATTAAGGAAAGATGTTTTAAATTTCAAAAATCAAGTNTCGAGCCCAATCCCGAATATTTTAAAGGGAACAATACATAAATAAGGTATTTAAGTATCACCATTTCAAAATTAAGGTTTGAGGTTTTAAATTTCAAAAATCAGGTTTTCATTAAAATTTATTTATAATTTAATTAATTAATTATGTATTTTATTAATAAATATATAAATGTCACATATCTATGTAATTTGATCACAATTCAAAAATTTTATATGTTACAATTCGTTCATCAGTCATAAATTAAAAATTTTAAAGTCATAATTTGTTCATCGATCACAAATCACAAAATTTATAAGTCAGACAATTTATTTTATGATCAAAAAATATCAAATTATAGGTCACGGATTACTTTTGTTGGTCACAACTCAATTATAACTTAATAAAATGTGAGTCACAGTCACAATTTTTAGGTCACACATTATTAATTTGTCAAAAATTAACCAATTATTGGTCACAATCAACCAAATAATTGGTCACAAACACCCACGTCCATCTCATCCCACCCACGTCAATTG